AGAAATGTGAATAGTAATGTGTGATAACAAAGGTTATAACCAGATAATCTATTGTTTCTGAGTGAATTACTCTATATATCAAAACAATCAGAGCAAATATGTTGAGTAAAGATCAAGAAAGAGCTTTGAGGAAAAAACCAAACGCGTCAAAACGCCTTCATCTAATAACTGCGTCGAAACGCAGAAAAACCCGAAAACGTATCGTAATCCATCTTCAACATAGACGAGTTTACACGTGTTTGCTCACTGTAAATGCATCACGGTGAATAGCTTATAAACGTTCAGGGATCCGCTTAAAGCCTAAACATGGTTACATGGGTGTTTAAATATATTGCAATATTAACCTAGAAAACTATATTTTTAAATGAATACGTAGTGTTTCTACACGAGAGTACAATTTACTCTCTTTTGATTATTTCGAAAGAAGGGAATGAAACAAATGAGTAGATATTGTGGCAATCAATATATTGTCAGAAAAAGATTGTAGTAAATTTTGCAAACGTTATATAATACGACGTACTATTGATTGCTTGGAAGATTGACATTCTAAAATAATTAACGGAAAGTAAATTCTCACAGCAGAAAAACGTTTATTCGAATAAATTTTTTATATATTCAACGAATAGGAAGTCGTTTATCTCGTATCTTCTTGATTGCGGACGTTTTTCCTTTATGGAAGAAAAAGAATGGCCGCATCATGGAAATATGCCAAAATAGATATAGTAAGACGACCAGTGTATGTAGCTCGATTTAATAGTCTATATTCGGATGTAGATGAAGACATGAACCACACTCTATTTAGATAGCCTTTTTTTATTATTGATATGTCAAGGATGATCTTGATTGTGAACCTGTAAAATGTTAGCTACTCATATATGTTTTATTAATGATTTTTTTCACATAGTAAAGGTTGTCTTGATTCTACTATGCGAACATTTTTCTTTAATTCACGAAAAAAAAAGTGTTCACAATCTGTATGTAACTGTTCATCTTCAAAAAGGGTTTTGGTAAATGTCGATTTCATTGTTAATTTAGTTAATGATTAAAATAATCTTTTTGCTTTTATAAGAATTTTAATTTAAGTTCTTTATTCCAAAAAAGAAACAGAACAACGGAATAAATCTATAGAAAACATAATAATAAAATAAATAATATTAGTCTTAATTATACAAGATAAATTTTCATTTCATTATTTGTATAATGATGTTGTTTATTTTCTTGTTGTTTTTTCATTGCTCGTGTTGAATATAATAAATGTTTGAGTTCAATACGTTTAATAATTGTTGATGAATGTTGAGGATTTCTTCGTCGATGATAATATCTATGTCGTTTTTTATAATGTAACAAAGGTTTTTTAATTAAAGTTATTGCTGAAATTGATAAATTGAGTTTTTTCAAAGAACTATTTGATATTGATAAAGTTGATGATAATGGTTGTGAATAATGAGATTTATTTAAACGTTTTGGTGTTGATGTTAATGGAATATAATATTGAAATGAATCAATACTTGGAAATAATGATGATCTATTGATATCTTTCATTTTTATTTCTTATCGTTTATTTAATGATATTATGAAGTCAAAAATAGAGTAGATTTATATATAAAAGAGAAAAAGAAAAAAAAAAAAACAATGATGGGATATTGTATAGATAAACACTAATTGGTCAAGGGAAAGTTGACTCTCTTTATCAAGTAAATATTAACAATTTATTGCTAAATGATGACAGATAAAATATTCAATATTTTTCAAATTTCAACAAAAATAAATCAAATAATATTAAGCAAAGAAATTCAATCTTAGAAGATTCTATCTTTTTCAATTTATATATTTATTAACAAGAACTTCTTTTTTTTTTTGTAGTAATTATAATGCAATTTTAATCTTTGATCAATTTGTCTATTTGAAATAATGAGAGAAAAGTGAATTGTTTATTTGATTTAGTGTTTGAATGTAGGTGTGAATTATAAAGCAAAACAATGACGCGTGCCATATCGAATACAATCAAAGCAGTGAACAGAGAATAATTATATATTATAAGGATAGAGGTGACAAAAGATTATCGTTTAATTAGAATATTGAATGTATCATACATATAAGAACAAAAAGCTTTTTTCTTTTAAATGAATAGTTTTCTTGAAAAACGAGCTCATTAAATTGAATTTACGTGCAAGTTACACTATAAAAAATTGATTTGTAAGACAAACTTTGCATTGGCAGTCATCTTGGATCGAAACTTGATTTTGTATATCTCATGTGAAAACCTTTCGAAGCATCAAATCACTTTTCGACCTAGAAAAGTCTAGAATGATTTGATTTGCCGAGTCTTCGTTCTCAGAATGAGTCTTTCAAGAAAAAGCTGCGGCCCCGTCAGGTCACGTGGAAAATCGGCTTTCGATTTCAAACATTGCAGATTAGTTGAATTTGTAAGTTTTAGCTTTTTTGTTATTTCCTTTCTAGATATGTAAATATAATAGTTAGAACTTGTCCAATGAGCACTAATGTCATTAAGAATTTTGTTCTTACAAAGTTTCCAATCGAAAGTCGATTTTTCACGTGATCTGAGAGAAGAACCGTAGATTTTCTTGCTGAAAAGTCCAATAAAATTTCGATATCTCAAGAGCAAAGGTCCGAAAAACTAAACCATTTTAGAGTTTTCTATTGCTAACTGATACGCATCACATGAACATTATTTGGTTCGAAAATTGATTTGACACTTAGAAAGACTTTCTCATCAGCTATCATTTATGTACATACTAAAATACGAGAATATATTTTAGCGTAGTAAAAAAAAGTTTTATTCTGAAAGAATTAGGAATGATTTTCTACGCTCATATTCAAAATGTAAAGTTTGCTTCATCTAAAGAAAATACAATAAATCAAATTTTATTTTGAATCGAAACTTTTCCGACTTTGAAAAAATTCAACAAAATCTGAAGAGAATCAAAAAAGTCATATATGCAAGAGATGTGTGTATTTGCCTTTGAAAATTTATTTTAACAAAAGAAATCGAAAAAATCAAAAAGCAATGAAATATCTTTGTTATGTTGATATTTTTATGTTCATCTCTAATTTGTGTTTGATTAAAAAATAAAATAATATAGTTTCTTATATTAAATATTTTTTTTATTATTTTTTTGTTATTAATCATATCGATCAATAACACATATCTTCTTTTTCTCTAACAAGTGAATAATTAAGAAAAAGAACGTATGTTAAATTAACTCTATCCCTCCTACTGTTTATTCACATTTAAGTGTTGACACGAGTTACGTGCTGTTGGGAAATCTATTCTTGTAGTTAAACAGATATTTTTTTTTCTCATTCATATTTATCTTTATTTGCTTACTAAATTTTATACTAAAAAAAATTTGAATTTTTATTGAAAATTGATGTGATATCTATTAGGTGTGAAACAAAATTATTTGAAAAAAAAAAGATAATTAAATCTTATCATATGTTTTTCAGCAGAAATAAAATGAAAAATAAAATATTTGACATCCATGAAGTAAACAAAACAATAAGCAAACATATACATAAAAGACTTAAGATTCAAAATTTAATCAATGGATAATGAAAAATAATAAAATTTTCTTTTTATTATTTTTTTTCTTGAATTTCTCGTATGAAAAAATACATAAATGTTATCAATTTGACTTGATGATATACATGTTTGTCTTGGAATAAATATCAATCTGATTGACAAAGGAAATATTCCAACTGATTTCAGTTGAGTTTACATTATGTACGTAGTCTTGACTCAAAAACGATTTATCAGCTTGAAGACTTTTCTCGTGAGTTAAATAATCTTTCCATTTAAGTACTAGTCGCTGATATGACATGTACTAGTTTGACTACTACTGATAATTGATTAAACTTTTATAATTTGCTCTTCCTTATTTTAATCTCTGTATGCACAATTTAATGTTCATTGATTACATAAAAAACTTATTCGAACTAGCGTTTTTCTTATGTGAGAATGTACTCTGCATGAATTGTTTTTAAGAAGAAAAAAACGAACAAATGTGTAGATATTGTGACAATCAATCCATTATCAGAACAGAAGTTCCAATAAATTTCCCAAATGTAACACATTCATTATGTACTATTTTTTATCTGAAAAGTCGATATTCTTGAATGAAAAAGTATTATAAATTCAAAAAAAGAACAATCTTTAATATCGATTACAACCATACGAGATGATATGGGGAACTTCAATTCCACAATGTAAAATTATAAGAGATAAACGTTTAATGAAATTGTATTTACAAACAGCGAATTGTTATTTTGGCTTATCTTTACCTTGTACTGTTTTTCATATATTCGCTCTCTTTGGTTTACTCTCTGTACGATGTACTTTTTCTTTTTCTTCCTTGTTATCGCTTCACTGAGCAGTCATGAGACTCAGTATAATAAATCATATAATAAAAAAATGAAATAGTAGCAACATTATGATGAAGGTCGTATTAATGTTTCAAAGTTTTGAAAAAACTGATAGATTGAGATATTTTCAATGTTCATCAAAAAATTCAACAACTATCTTTATGTTATTTGTTCATATATTTATTGGAATTCTTGTTCTGTTTGTTCGGACAATACATTGATTATCACAATGTCTACTCATTTGTTTGTTATCTCTGTTTCAAAATAATCGACGGACAGTAAATCATGTAAACTATCGTCATTGATCAAATATGGTTTTATCCAAATATATGAAATTAAACATCTATGTTATCTATCTTGCGTATCGATAGGCAAGTATATAAATGCATTATTTATCAATGATGATAATAATTAAAGAACTAAAATGTATGACAGTCAACTAAGAAAAAAAAATACACAGGCACAAGATATGCAATAAGAGCAAATTATGCACACAAAACATAGATAAACATAAAATGAGAAAGAAGAAGAAAAAAACGAAGCAATGACTCTCTGCTTTGTTCTGACTAGAAATAAAAGGAGTATAAAAAAAAAAAGATATGATAAATATTATTGTTTTAACGAAGACTAGTTCCTAATAAATATTTTTCGCTAATTCCACCGGTAAGAGCACTGCCACTAATTGATAAGTTTTCCACTGGATTTCGTATAACAATTGAAAGTCGACCTGATTTAATTCCAACCTAGAAAATAAAAAATAAAAAAACATAAAGTACGAAAGATAATTAAAGATTATTATATTAGAGAAAAAAAAAATTTAATAAAAAAAAAATGTTTAAAGAGAGTAAATGAAATAATTGAGTAAAAGCAGACAACAGGACACAAGGCATCGATGGTATTAGCTGAATAAAATGATTACAAGCATGTCTGTTTTTTTTTCCAAATCGAAGCATAAAAATAGAATATATATATATATTTTTGTGCGATATATGAGAATAAATTAAGGTTTAAGGCAATAAACATCAAATGTCATTATCTATCAGTATTTTTGTTTTGATGAATATATTAAAAAAAAGCCTGGTGCAATAAAATGCAAGGGGAAAATAGGATTAAACAGGCAAAGAATAAAATGATAGAATAAATATGTATATATGTATGAAATATTTTATTACGAGTGAATTCGCTCGATTTTCTTTATCAGTATTTTTTCGATAGCTAAAAACAAAATAATAATAATAAAGAAAAACAACAACAAATAAATAAAGAGCAAGAAGAAGAAAAAGAAAAAGTAAAGAGAATATTCGATAATTCCACATGTGATTCATATAATTACTAATACCATGATTGAATTAACTTTTGTTGCCAAACTAGTTTTGTATATGTGCATATTTATTACATTATGAACCATTTTATGTGTAAGCCACAATGAACTATACTCAATTGATAGTCAACAATTCGATTAGTTTTTGTTTATGTTTTATAGTAGCAAGTATTTGATGAATTTCTATACAAATCACTCGAAACGATCTTGTTTCATTCTCGAGATATATAGATTTTTCAAGATTATTATCGCTAAAAGAGCATTGGTTTTTGTTTTAACATTTTGTATCTCATAATGAATATATTCGTTTGACTTGAGATTTTCAATGTGAATACGTCTGAGGCTTGTGTACTTACTATAAAAAAGATAAGCTGACCAATTAAATGAAAACATGATCATCTTTTTTGTATTTTATGCATATACATATTTTATCAACAGATCACGTTAAAAAGTTGAAAATTTAACTAAAGAAAAATCTCATTAAATGCTTACTTTTGTAAAAATTTCAGTCCTCTACATAGCTCTTGCCGTTCAGATGATATTCGCCAAACTATAATTTTCGGAGTGACCGGTCTGAGAAAAATCTTGTCTATAGAAGTCGGAGTTTTAACCTATAAATGACTTCTTTTCATATTGAACGGTACTCAGATCGTTCAGAGATTAATAGAAAAATTTCTAAATACAGAATTCTTTTTTTTTTTGTTCAGTGTACATCAGCACTTGATCCTCTCTGAATTGACATATTTTTTTGAAAATGACAAAAAATTGTTCCAAGTATAGAAATTTTCCTGTGGATTTCTGAATAATTTGAGTGTATGAAGCATGAAAAAGGAAAACCTAGATTTTGTAGGTTATTTTATAACGTACCAAACCTATTCTTACAGGTTTTTGTAGTACTCAGTGTGTACTTTTAAATCATAAAAGTTTTCTCTAGATCAGTCACTATGAAAATCATAATTTTGACGAAAGGTATCCTGATTGACAGGAACTATCTAGAAAGCTGAAATATTTATCAAAATCAGTACCCATTGAGATCTTTCACCAGCCAAAAATTCTACTTTTTAACATGATTTACTCATGAAATATGTATATGCATAAAATACAGAAAAATGACTATTTTTTATAATAAGTACACGAACTTCAAATGTAATCATACTGAAAATTTCAAGTCAAACAGATATATTCATGATGAAACATAGCTGTCACAAAAAATGTGCTTTTTACACCGATAATGACCCTTAGAAAAATCTGTCTTGAGGATGAAAGAATATTTTTTTTTTCGAATAACTTGAATAGAAATTCATCAAACACTTGCTTCTATAACATATATAAAAAATAATCTAATAGACAACTATCGGTTGAGTAGGATTGGTCGTAACTCACATGGAATGGCTCACGAGGGAACCGTCCGAAGTGATTAACCGCTTTTGAGTTCGGACTCTATACATAAGACAGACCCTAATGAGATATGAAAAACCCCAAAAGGACAAGTGCCCATAGGCCTTCTCTACAAAGTTATAGGCATTTTACTGAAATTTTAGCCTATAGTACTGTATGTATCAAAGAATCGAATGATGATATTTCGAGCTGAATTTTTGCCTGCAGATAGGCCTACTAGTAACTAGAATGTTCTGAAAATTTTAGGTCAAAGGAATGTTCTCTTCACGAGATATTAAATTCACAAAAATCTTTCATATTCCACGACACATTCTAGAACCTCATATTTTTTTGTGAATTCAATATCTTTTGAAGAGAATATTCCTTTGACCTAAAATTTTCAGAACATTCTAGTTACTAGTAGGCCTATCTGCAGGCAAAAATTCAGCTCGAAATATCATCATTCGATTCTTTGATACATACAGTACTATAGGCTAAAATTTCAGTAAAATGCCTATAACTTTGTAGAGAAGGCCTATGGGCACTTGTCCTTTTGGGGTTTTTCATATCTCATTAGGGTCTGTCTTATGTATAGAGTCCGAACTCAAAAGCGGTTAATCACTTCGGACGGTTCCCTCGTCAGTGTTTTAATGAATCTCTTATGAATATTTTCGATATTTAAACATGAAAACTTACTTTTTTTTTGCCACCTAATAATAATTCTTTATAAGTTTCTGAACGTAAAAATCGAGCATATGTATCACGATTCATCAAATTAAAGATGTGATCCTACGAATGAAAAGAAAAAAAAGAAAAACGAAGAATATTTATTTATAAAGAAAAATCAAATATAAACCTGAGCTTCATCGAATGTATATCGATTAGGAAAATTAATCATATTATTTTTCGTTAAATTCATGACACGTTGATCGATATTTATCGAATAATAAGCACCTAGATAATATAATATTGAAATTTCTTTTTTTTTTTTAAATATAATAATTTAAACCTGGTGATAGAAATTCATTATAAATTTCTTTAACTCGATTGAGTACATCTTTTTGCGGAGTATAAAAACGTAATTGTATACATCCTTCATAAAATCGTAAATTTTCACTCGAGTATTCTTTATCAAGAAATTTCCAAAAAAAATCACGACCAATTGGATCTTTAAGTAATTCATTTATTGAAAAACTCCACCGTTTAACACGCCTTGATGTTATGTCTTTCGAACTAACGGCTTTTTCTAATTCCCATAGATCAATGGAATCAGTTATCCCTATGAATACACAAAAAAATAATATTCTATAGAACAAAAATAAATTTTTATTAGAGTTGATGCCTTTCGAAGTAAAACAGGTAGTATTTTCATGCATGTACATTTCTCCGTAATGTTTTTATACATAAAAAAAAAAGAACTTAGAAGTTCATGATCAAATAAGTTCTATTGAAAATAATGAAGTCCCTTCAACTGTCATCTTTCGATTTCAATGATTTCTTGATTATAGATACTTTCTCTAAATGCACATAGTTTCACATCAAAACTCGAAAATACGAATTTTCCGAAAACTTGGGTCTTTCAGAAAAAAAAAAATTTGATAGCTTAGTCAAATATCAATAGAAACCCAAATCCTTGTTGATGTTATTTTTATAATACTATGTAGTATGTATAGGCAGAAAATCATTGAAATTGGAAGAGGACAGTTCAAGAGATTCTCTCATTAGTGAAATGACTAGATTTTTTCCGGAAAACATTTAAAGTCTTTAAATAGACGCTTATAAAGGAATATATCCAAATGTTGAATGCTGTTCGACTTCATATTATGACTATAAGTAGGGTCTCAGTGAGATCAAGAAATACTTAAAAGAGCTTAAATCTTTTGTCTTCTGATTTTAGAAAAGTTCAATAGAAAGAGTTTTGTGTCTATCTAAAAATTTCGATGAAATCAAACATCTCTTTCTCGAAATATCCTTCAGACCAAAACTCTTTACTTTGAGTTTTTCGAAAATGTCTTGATATCAGTAAGCATTTCATTAAAACTGCACTGTAAACGGTCGTAAGCGATATAACCTTGACGTTTTTCGTAACCTGATAAAACGATGAAAACAGTGGGAAGAAACAATGATTATTTGGTAGGAAAAAATAGATCGTTTTATAATCATCGTTTTCAATGATCGTTGTGGATAACTTTTCATCAGTAAGCCATAAGCTCGAATCCCTTTAAACTATTCTAGGTCTCACTGAGGCCTACTCATAGTCATTATATGAAGTCGAACAGGATCCGACAGTTGGATATATCTCCTCATTAGATCTTTCGGTGACTTTCTCGAAATTAAAGTTTTGTTGGCACATTTATTAAAAAGATTCTCTCAATAAGATCTTCCTTATTTCAATGTGCAAGGGAATGGTGAACACTCAAATCATAATATCACTGGATTCGGCAGTAAATTGAATCCTGTGTTATTGAAAAACTGTAGATTTAAGATGTGTAAACAATTTAATTTATAGACAGTTTTAAAAAAATGAGGATTATTATAAATATCAATAGAACTAATCCTTATGAGGTGGCTACAATCAACGCTATCTAGTGGGCTTATTGATAATTCTTTCATACATGGATTTGATGGTTCACATAATGTAATAAATGGATCAAATTCAGCATATTGTTCAAAATATGAAACGGAATTTTCTGAAACTTTGGATGTTTTTAAACATCGTCTTTCAATTCGATGTTTAAGAAATTGTATTTCTTTACATAATTGTTCAATTAATAAGGCTTCATCACATTCACGTAAAAATGATGATCGAGTTTGTGAAGAACTATTCGATGAATTTAAATTTGTCGTTGTAGATTCTGTTGATAAAAGTCCAACAGTCATTGTTATTAAATTTCTATTAGCAGCAAATGCAAGAGCTGATGCTGGTGCTGTATTTAATGTTGATGCTGCCGAATTTTTTCTATAAGTATCAATTAATAAACGTGGAGTTACATAAGTTGTTTTTCTTCGTAGTAATTTTTTAATATCTTGTTCAGTCGTATTAATACAACCAGGTGCTGGTCGATAGACATCCCAAAAGGCACGTTCTTGTGAATCGAGTACATTACGTTCAAATTTATCACGTTTTTTATCAACTCTAATAAGACAAACAAATTTTTTTTTGTTTTTTTTTTATTCTGTTTACTTTATTTGTGCTTCAGCTTGCATGTAAATAAATTCCCATTTACGTGCAAATAATTTTTGAAGTCGTGCTAAGTTTTCAGCTTCATAATCAGCTAATTCTAATCGAGTTTTATTTTGCATTGTTCGTTTACATAAATATACAGCTAAATATCAAAATAGAAATTTCTCTTGAGAATTTATAGGATGAAAAAAAAAATATATGTGTATCACCATAATCAATATTATCTGCTTCAACATGATTTGAAGGCCAAAAATAAGGCGTCTAGAGAGAAATAAAAAATAAAAATCAACATTTTAAATTCATAAGAAAACAATTTATACTTGAAAACGATAAAAAGTTCCATCATTTTTTACAGTTAAAACATGATCTTCAATAGGGAGAATCTAAATGATAGAAAACAAACAATGAATTATTAATTTGTTAATTAGATAGATAATCTTACATAGCCATGGGATGATATAAGATTAGCAAAATGAACAGCTTCAGCTAAACAAATTATTGATTAAACATTAAAAATAAACTTGTCAGTGGATCCCTTTAGGACTAAAATATGGAACTCACATGTGTTCTTTAGCCTCATCATACTAATAAAAAAACATTTGGTACCAGAGTATTAGAACCCGTTGGATCTGGTCCGAGTTCAAAAAATGTTGAACCCGACAGACTCTAGTCCGGGTTGATCAAACTTAGATACGATCGAATCATACTTTGATATTCTCAAAGAAATTTTCTAATCAGAATTGGATAGTCGCCCCGAAGACACGACATATGTCTCAGACGACTAGAGCCCAACCTGGATCCGGAATCAATTCGACGAGCTCTCTACAACATAAAGAATTCTGTAAGCTTCTAAATTTTCGAATATTTGTAAGTGTGTGTATGAAGCAAAATATGAAATGATAAAATCTTGTCTATGAATATATTTTCACATGAGTATGATAGAATAGTAACTACAAAAGACTATGGTTTAGTGAATGATCATTTTCAACGAATCTCTCGAATCATATACTAGTTAAGCTTCATCCTTTCTTTGAATAATCTAAAGCCATTTTACAATATTCGATATTGTTTTAAGTAAAAATAATCTTCTTCAAATGATCTATACATTTTTTGGAAGAAGATCTCGAACTTTAAAAGTACCTGTAATTGTATAATAGCTGTATTTCAGTAAATATTAATAGCTAAGATTTCAAATTCGTATTTTAGATAAAGGAGAGTAACGATCGACTTTCGATAAAAAATTTTTAATCTCTTCTACGTCATTAGTATTTTATGGTAAAAGAAATGAAATATCTATATCTCACGAATCATTCAGGAAAAGAAGTCTAGAGATATGATATCTTAAATATAAATTTTTACCAACACTATTTAGAATGTATTTCAGGTATTCAAAATTCGAGAAAGACTTTGAAATGTTTTAGAACAGTTTAAGTCATGTTATTAATGCCATTTAACACATTTTTCCCTTGTTGTTAAAGTACTCTGAGAAAAGAATCTAACGCCTGTTGCTCTCGAATTGCTACGATAGGGGAGAAAGAAACTATAAAAACCTTGATTAAAACTTCTATACAAAAAATTTTCTTCGAACATATTTGTAGTTTCCACAAAAAAAAATCTATTTACTTGTATCATCAACATCGAGTGTTTTTAGAATCCATTGTATTAAATCTCCACCAGTGAGAACACTCGGAATTTTCGACATAAAACTTTTGACGGATTTAATTGGTAAACCACTGTGCTCATCTTGCATTCGTTCAAGTAACGATTCAATCTATAAATAATAATTTACAGAAAAAAAAAAAAAATACAAAGATTTTATTAAAATTACTGTTTTATATGTATATAGATTGGGTATTTCATATTCTCGATTGATTCCTTCAATTAAAACTGGATTATCTGTTAGAAGAAAATCATTTCTAATTGGTGTATTAACACCTATTGTTCCAGCAGATTCATTCAATGTTGCTTGTTCATCAGGATCATGATGAGTAATTGTTGATGTTGCGGCTGGTGCGTTGATGCGAACCATTTCAATATTTAAGTGGTCGCTTATCGAGTCATCATCAGTAAAAGACGCTCGAACTCGAGCGGCCATTCAATGATAACAAGAAGCAACCATGGCAAACTACATTTTCTACAAGAAAGTAAAACAAAGATAAGGAAATCAAACTGAAGTGGTTTTTTTTTTTTTCATAGTTCACGAACAACATAAAGATCAGATGTAGAACAACATATATTGAAATCTAAGTAAGAACATTAAAAAAAGAAGAAGAAGAACAAAAAAAACTTTTAAAGCTTTAAGAAAATGTTTTTTTTTTTTTTTTTTTTTTTTCTTTTTATAATTNTCATGAAAGATGTGAGAGGCTCCTATATTTTTCAAGGTTCAATATCTCGTGAAGAAAACACGTCTTTTAGCTGGAATTTTCAGAGCACTCTAGTTACAAGTAGACCTATACGTAGACGAAATTTCAGTTCGAAATATCGTCATTCGATTTGTTAGCGTATACTATGCTATAGGCGAAAATTCCAGTAAAATGGCTATAACTCTGAACGAAAGGCCTATGGGCCCTTATCTTTTTGGGGTTTTTCGTATCTTACTGGGATCTACCTTATGCACAGAGTTCGAACTCAAAACCGATTAATCACTTCGGATACCTCCCTCGTTAGATAAAAAGAGAAAATGATCTATTGAACGCTTCAAATGTATTTTTCTTGAAATAGATAACATTTTTTAAATAAAAATAATAATGATACATCAAAATAGTACTATATAGAAATAATTAGTAAGAACAAGAAGAAAAGTTATATTCGTTTGAAAATTTTGGGCAGTATTCTTAAAATTAAATTTCTAAATTTTAAAACATTGTAACTTTATTTTCAATGTTATTTAGAATGAAGTTCGATTTTTAAAGCAATATAAAATGAAATATTTGTACTTTGAGAACATCTGAAATCTCATTGTTGACTTTCTAGTACTTATGAATTACATAAAAACGATAACTCTCCATCAATGTCATATAATCAATATCTCATTATTCTTGTTTATTGAATACACATCTGGTATAGATTATGAAGTGACAATAATTCGAAGGTCATTCTTTGTCCTTGATTATTTTCTTATGTCTACTATACTTAGTTGCTATATAAAGGTGAACCTTGAAAATATATCAAACTTTTCTCAAACACAAAAGTTTTCCATTGAATTACAATATATATTTGTGTGATATTATCAAAAATAAAATAATCAGAAGGCTAAAATATATATAATTTTTTTAATGTAATTACATTCTAGATAATAAAATATCTTTAGTTTTTATCGACATTTAACAAAAATTAACCATATAATTATTATACTTATAATACTTGTTAATATTAATTTATAATATAGAACTAAAATTCTTATGAATGAAAAATTCCATGGATATATATTTTCATATGTATAACGAAATTTTTCACTTAATCTATTAATATCACCCGTTATTTCTAAAGCAATATTTTGTGCTCGTCCTTGAAAAATAATTTCTTCATAATAACCATGTTGAATAAATGTATCATTACTATCTTTATTCAATGTTATATTATAAATTAATTTTGATAATCGAACATCAAAATGAATATTTTTTGTAAGAAATTCTTTTACATATTTAACCATTTGATCATCACGTGGTCCATATAACATAGCACCATATATATTTTCTAATTCATTACAATAAGTACTTATATGAAGTTTATATTGAAATAAAACATCATAAACATTAAATGAAAGTTGATTTGTATTAGAATTAATAGATAAATCATGAATAATCGATTGTAAATAAGTATTAAAACGATAAAATTCATTATTATATTCAAAAACAATAAGAAATCCAGCAAATTCCATATTAAAATACCATGGAATAAGTGCTAATGAAAAAAATAAACTAGCTGATGTTGATGAAAGATTTTCCCATTGATTAGCTTGACCCCATATCCATATTGATGGAAATGAATGTCCCCAATCTTTTTCTATATAACCAATACCAGATATAATTTTTTTTTCATTTTCATTTATTTGAATTGAACCATGAATATAATGTTTCATACTAAGAACATGATGATAACATTGCATTGTTGGTATCCATGAATAAGGACCCATTGTTCCTGGTAATATCGATAATATATCAGGTATATGTATATGTGATGATAATGTTAAATTCATTTGAAAACTTTCTGTTGCATCATCATTATTATTATTATTTGGTTGAACATTAATAATAAGTTTATCATATGAAAATATATTTTTTTTATTATCAATTGTTACTTGAAATTCATCAAATGATGATGTAAATGTTTCAAATGGAAAACGATAATAATGTGAAATATTATCATAAGCAATCATAATAAATGAATGTCGTTTATTATTATTCATATGTACACCAGGAATAATAATAAATGTATTATTATATTCGTTTGAAACTATTTTATAATACCATCCTTCAAAAAATATTCCATTTTGAATGTAATGACCTAAAAACAAAATTTCAAAAAAAAACAAAATAACATTCTTTCTAGTTATTACGAAAATAATTTTTTTTCTTTACCATGGTAACGATCCGGATGAAAGACAAGTTTTATAGATTTATAATTAACAAGTAAATAGACGAATGCAAAAAAGATACACACAATGGTTACAACTCGTGATGCAAACATGTGCGATTTTAATGCAAAAATCGACAGATAAAAAAAATAAAAGTAAAAAAATAACTACAGGTAAATTTATACTGAAGAATATATTCTTTTTCGAATATTATAGCCCATAGTGTTCTTTATATTTATATCTTTTTCTTCTCAGTTAAATATATATGTGTTATTCAATGGTTAAATTATATGGAATATAATATTCAAAACTGATGATTTGTGTTTTTTTCTACAAATCGACATTATATTATACAAGATTTATGGTAGAGTACTGCACAATTACAACTTCTCTTACACGTATCCAGGTGCGAGCATTCGACCTATATGGGCTATATTACTGTGATACATCGCTGGTAGTTTAATAGAACAATCAATCAACTATGTGAGTAAGAATATTGCTATTAAACAGCAGCATTAAAAATATATACATTCATCACAAGAACTCCCGCTACTGATTATAACGTACATAAATTTCAATCATTTTGCCTCATATTTTGATTATTAATAGAGTTCGGTAAGCTCTGATCGCAAGCAGCAATTCAAATTTGATAGAGACTGATGCAAAGGATTTACGATAAAAATATTTTTTTTTTCCTCGGGTCGAAAAAAAAGACTTTTCTAATTTTTCACTATTAAATGTATGAACCTCTATTTTCTTCCTAAAAGATAACGATTCAAATGTCTATACTAAGTCACAGATAGGATTCTTCAATCTTATATAATCTTGATATGCGAGAAAGTCTTCATTGTTTGGAACAGTTTCAGCATGGATTTCTTGTCCATCGATGACTTCAATCATAAAGTTTTGAGAAAAAACTTTCTTTAATTTAAAGTAACATGACAAATGAGCCCCTGACACTTGAGGCTAATATAAAAAACAACTTAAAGAAATACAAGAAACTAGTTTATTTGAATAAATCGCCATTCATATTAAAAGTTAAATAGAACTCTTGTTCATTTAAGGGCACATTCCTTCTTTTGTCACCCGAAGTTTTTGTTCTGTGACTACTGTTTATTCTGAAGTAATATCTATCTATACTAAGCATTTTTTGGGATCTAGAAGCTGTATTTAATGTTAAACTCCACATTGTCTCACTACAGCGTAGAAATGTTCTAGTATCTTCGGTCAAGTATGTCCAATAGAGCTGAAACTTTTTTTGATACATACTATACACTATTTTAGATAAGTTTTATTCTTTTTTGTTTGAAAAACTGTTATTCTGCTGATTTTTGATAGCATTTGCAGAAATGCTCTATTTAAAACAATATGCGTTTTTTAGAGAACCTTTGATACTTTGACTTTTTCTTATTCGAAGGGCAAAAAATAGAAAAAAAATGCCTACAACCAAGTAGTGTCTAATGCGTGTAAAAAGTTTTCAGTTCGATCGAACGTACTGTTTCAGAAAAACAAAGGCAAACACTGGCTCAGTGGAGATCCCAGTATCTTATAGAATACAGCATCGAAAAACTTTGAGTTTTGCTCTATTCGTGAAGATCTGCTTGTCCTCAAAAGTTTCTGACGGTCTTGTTCTCCAGAAAATCCGATAAAAGTCAGGGTAAGTACCTTTAAAGTATAAGTCTCTTGTTATGAAATGAAAGAGTCGAAATTATTTATTGTAATTTTTCATCAAGAAGTTCATATTCGTCTTACTCTTCTGAAAATTGACATCAAGTTATTAAAGTACAATTAATTTCTAATGAATTTTCTTCGAAAATGGAACAACATGCGAACTTAATAATAATTGCAAGTCGAAATTGTAGAATCAAAGAAACATGTTAAATATGAACTTCTTGATGAAAAATGTGAAATTTTCATTTGATAACCAAGAGACTTATATTTGAGACAAGCAAGAGTTCTATTTAATTTTTTAATGTGAATATGAACTTATTCAAATAAAACTATTTTCTTATATTTCTTTAACTTGTTCTTTATGCCAGGCTCAACTGTCACTGTAACGAAAATCGGCCAGTGAATTATTGATTTCGAACAAATCCAGTACATAAATGAAGTAAATAGGTCACATAGGCCATTCATCTAGTTATCTGTTTTTTTTTGTTTCCAAAGACATTTAACTTGCTATCCTAGTCATTGACTGGTCTGTTATTCATAAATAAAATCACAATTCATTTCAATCAATCAATCACATGAGACAATTTCTCTGAACCAAAGTAAATAAAAAGAAGAAAAAAAATAATCCTAATTACTTTACATAAAAATTATTCATAGAAAAGTAAACAATCATAAAAACATATTGTTTTTCATGCGCAATTATAAACATTACTCAGCAATACATAAAGTAAAAAAATAACAAACTATATTTAACAACAGAATAAGATAGGACAGGTACCAATGAAAATTAATATTTATGTTCGTATTGACACAAAGTAGGAATAGAATTAGAGATAGAGAAAATTATTGATGTTGATACAGTTGTTGATGACAGAGACAAATTATTAAATAAACTTTTTGTTAACACGAATAGACAAATTTGTCGTTTTTTTTTCTTGTTTCGATTTGATTTGTACACTTACTCGTTTTTCATTGCAGAAATGTATGAGCCAATAAACAAAAAAATTAAGTTTTTCGAAAAGAGAAGCTTTACAATGATAATATGCGGCATCTCTTGAGAATTAAGTATTCTATTAAACCTAGAGGTACTGTAGTCATTTTCAGTTCATGAAACAAAGGTAGAAGAAGTAAGCCAAAAGAAAGAAATGCAGGGTTGACTATCGTAGATCAACATACAATGGAATCAAGGATTGACCAAACCCTAAGATATGGGGTTCTGAACAATGAACTAGAGCTCGAGTTCAGTACATATTTAACTTCAAGTCCAACATAAAAATTGAAATTATTAAATATCAGTCTTTTTAACTCGACAAACGATATAGAGAAACATAATTGTGAGTGTAGTCTGTGAGAAAATAAACGATGTAGTCTGGCATATACACACTCACTCGAAATTTGATATTGAAAATAGATATTAATAGTGCAAATAAACGTGCAATAAGACAACTTATAGATGAGGAGTGTTGGATGTGGCATCCCCTTGCCTCCAGTACTGACGAGAGAGTGTCCTTAAGTATGAATCACCAATCGAGTATTTCACCCATAAGTAAGCTCTAATGAAACTAGTAGATGCATACAAAGACTTGTTTTCAAATCCTATCGTTCCCAAGTTATTAGAATTTTACTGAATTTTTTTTCTCTAATAAGGTATTAGTGGAAAAAAAATCGAATTATGAAAGTTCAATTTGAAATTTTACCTATAGGTAAATCTCGTGAACACTAAAATGAGCTCCATGCATAAGATAGAGTTCAGCGACATATGAAAAGGATTAGTCTTCTTCGACCTTCTGCGCAGAGTTATAGACATTTTACTAGAATGTCAATCTCTGACATGGTATATATCAACAAATCGAATTCTCACAGGCAGATGCTCTGAGAATTTCAGCTGAAAAGAATATTTTCTTCCGGAGATATTACACTTTCAAAAGAAAGAAAAAATTCCAACATCTTTTATCGAATATATTGATAAATAGATCTGTCTGTAGAAAAAAAATCTCAGGTCGAAATAGCCTTATTCGATTTTTTCACTAATTCCATAACAGAGACAAAAAAGTTCAATAAAATTGTAATAATTTATGAAAGATAACACATATGAATGAATCCTCCCAAACTTCTACTAGCCTCATCGAAACCTACTTATGGTCAAAATAATAGTTCGATTAACAAGTAACACATAGTAATGTTTCGTTTTGTGTTATGCGTCTAAACTCAAGTGACATCTATCAGTATCGCTTTTTATAATGCGACAAAATATTTAACCATCAATTTTCGAGTAAATGATTCATCTTGGCGACGTTCTACGAAGAAAGAAAAAAAACTTTGTGTTGATGATCACGATCGAAGAAAGAAAATCCTACGCACATATTTATTCATTTCAGATTGTATTTGTCATACGAGTCAGTACATCGTACACAAAAAAACATATTACAATACATGTTATTAGTGTGATTGTGTGTTTAAAAACAACTTTTGTTTTTTTATTTTTTTAATTTATAGATGAACGGTTTCAATCGTGTACGTTCAACATTACGTCGTACATTTTTTTCATCGAATGGAGCTGATGCAAGTCCAAATACAACACGACGTGAAGATTTTCCAATATTAAGTCATCATTTATCATCATATGAACGTTTTGATTTATCAACAGGTAGTCAAGGAGCATCAACAACATCTTTACAAAATATAAATTCAAATAATAATTCATCATCATCACATGCACCTATTATTGAAACAACTAGTGATGGTGTGGAATTTTTACCAAACAATTCTAAACGTACATTACGTACAATACCAGGTGTATTTTGTCCAATTGCTTTATCTATGTTTTCAATATCATTATTTATGCGTGTGGGTTTTGTTGTTGCACATGCTGGAATTTTACAAACATTATTACAATTTGGTCTCTGTTTTATTATACTTTTTAGTACATTATTAAGTGTTTGTTCATTAGCAACAAATGGAGCTATTGAAGGTGGTGGTGTTTATCATATGATATCACGAGCATTAGGACCTGAATTTGGTGGATCAATAGGTGTACTATTTTTTTTTGCTAATGTTATTGGTAATGGACAAAGTGTTGCAGCTCTTGTTGAAGCATTAGTTGATAGTTTTGGACCTGGAAGTAAATTTAAAAAAAAAAAAAAAAATAAATCAACATATTAATTTTTTTGTTTTTAAGGTAAAGCAAACGCTTTTCAAGATACACATTGGTGGAGATTTTTATATGGAACAATAATTAATATAATTAGTCTTATAACATGTTTACTTGGTTCATCATTATTTTCAATGGCAACATTTTTTATATTTATTCTTGTTAGCTTTAGTTATCTTATGGTTGTTGTCTCATTTTTTGTTCAAAGCCCAAGAGCTGTTGTCATACCAAGAGTAAATACATATGCATATGATCATCAATCATTTGAATTGAATAAAACCGATTTAATTTATGGACAATATACAGGTTTTAGTTCACTAACAATGCGTGAAAATACTTATGCAAATTATACAATTGATTATACAACTGGTGATATGATGAATTTTGCTACGGTTTTTGGTGTACTCTTTTCGAGTATAACAGGTTTATTGGCTGGAGCAAATATGTCGGGTAAAAAAAAAAAAAATTTATTTCTATTTCTAGAAATTCAATATATGAAGTTAATTTTAATTCATGTTCGAAAAATGATCAGTTCGATTGGACCAAGTTAGATAGCGGGCCCGATGCTGTTCTATGGAAAACCAGAGTTTTCTTGAATACGATAAATTCAAATCGCATGGAAATTTCAGTGCTAGCTATATCATGACGTTTTCAGAAGATATTCAACAATGGTCAAAAATATCTTTTATGACAATCGAAAATTCCTTTAGACCTTTTCTCTAGATTTTATAGGCATTTGACTAGAATTTTAGTTTCTGGCGTAGTATATACCAATAAATCGAATGATGAATAGTTCTTTTCAGAGAAATTAAAGTCCCAAAAAACAGAAAATTCAAGCATGTTTCGTGATATATGATTGATTTTTGGGACTTTAATTTTTTAAGGATAGGGTGCCGGAAATCATTGAACATAGCTGGAGAAAACGGCATACACAACAGAAATTTATATTGTTTGTTCAAGATCCGACTACGATGCTATCCTCGCATGCATTTATGTTTATTTCCGACGGAAATTGACTTTTTTTTTCATCGTTTATGTTTTTTGCACTGATACTTAAGTAAAAAAATAATATTATCTTAGAATGAGACAAATCAAGAATGAATCAAGCTTTATCTATGTGTATTATGGCAAAGCAAAAATAAATACATCGGTAAAATGAAACTAAATCTGTAACCTTATATGACTAGCAATTTTAATCATAACAAGTTGTTAAGAATTACATAAGAAAAACAATATATTTTATAAAGGCGATATGCTTTCTCATACATAGAATATAATCAAAAATTTTGTTTGAAAAATTAAATAAATCTATAGAACTTAAAATAAAATCAATTTTTTTTTTTTTTTTTTAAGGAGAATTAAAACGACCAAGTCGAAGTATTCCAACTGGTTCTGTATCTGCTCTATTTTTTGTATTTTTTATATTCATTACGGAAACATTACTTATGGCTGCTACAACTGATCGGTTAGTGTAGAAATTAATTATAGTTTTTTTTTTTTGTTCGATTTATTCAATTTTTTTTATTTATTATTTTAGATTTACATTAACTAACAATTATTTATTTTTACAAGATATTAATATTTGGGCACCATTTGTAATTATTGGCATGATAGCTGCAGTGTTTTCAGCATGTTTATCAGGACTTATTGGTGCATCAAGAATATTAGAAGCATTAGCGATAGATGAAATTTTTGGTATGAAATTTTCTATACAATTTCAGTGTAACTTTTGTATGATTTTGAGAGTTTTTTTTATCAATTACCTGCATGTATAGAGGTATAAACCGATCAGCTGAGTCGTTGGTCATTGATCAATGTACTCACTCATTTATCTATTCATATCGATGATGTTTTAAATAATTTTTAGGATTATAAGCAAATGTAATGTCTGATCAGATCATTCCGATAGAGTACTGTCTTTCTTTTTATCTACTGAACCGATAAAATCAATACGTAAGCATAAATAGATTAGAAGAACTATAACATTTGTTAGATTTCAATGAAAACACCGAAAAATAAAGTAATGTATCTAGTTTTATATCATTGAAGATATCTGATAGATTAAAGAAATAACTTCTATTTCTCGATAATTTGTATATGATCTGAATGTATGAACTAAATATTTAAATCATATAATATTTATTTAGGACCAGTACTCAGTTGGATTCGAGGTGGAACAACTCGACATGGTAATCCATGGGCGGCTGTAATATTTACATTTGTACTTGTACAGGTAAGTTTGATTTAAAACAAAAATCCTTTTTTTGTTTTTGTGTACTCAAAAAGTGAGTACACTCTAGAATCGGTTCGTATGTCCGGCCGTTTACACGATTACTTTCGAAAGGAGAGTCAGATCATGATGAAATTTTCTACACAGTTCAGTCTTAACAATGTCTCGATCGAGTTCGAAGATGAGAAGGATCCGTCACGAAATGGCTGAGTTATCGAAAAAATTGTCATTATTGACCAGACCATCCCTGAGGGGGGGGGGGAGGTACAGGGATTTTTTCAAAAAAAAATATTTTTCTCAAAATTCTTCACAACATATATATATCGATTCAGTTCTTGACGGTGATTCCGAATCTGATATTGGTTTTGAACCAAATTGTAGCTTTCTAACAGAACATCGCCTGAAAAAGGTCTCAAAATGCAGAAAAACTGCATGCAGAAACCAAATTGCCTAGATGTGTCTCAGATGACCAGTAGTTTTGGGGTTTCCCAAATGCCTGATTTTGTAGCTAGCAAAAGGACTATCGAATGGTAAAAACCCTAATTCGATAGCTATTAATATTGGTGATCTATTAGGAAAATAGTGATGCCTGTATCTATTATATATCTCTTATAGATTGATGAGGTTGCTTACGATAGTAATCCTGGTAGATACAAACGCAAATCCATTCAAAAATAACTGTTCTTACCCAGTTTTCCAAGCTAAACACGAATCTGAACTGAATTCCTGTGATTTCTAAAGATATTCTATCACTCTGAGAGTAGAGTCAGTGGTCACAGGATAGGGTCGCATACAATGTGGTCCATGCTAACTTAGCACGCCTATATTTTCTCCTTGCAATTTAGTGATAAAAAACACAGTGAATATACCTTTTCACTGTTTGAAGTACACATAACACTCGGATTTAAATCCGAGGTTTTCGCATTTATTCTTTATAATTTTGCTTTTTATTTTTCAAATTTTAATTTAGTTAACTTTATTCATTGGTTCAATGAATAAAATAGCACCGATTGTAACCATATTTTTTCTTCTTGCTTATTTTGCGGTTAATTTATCCTGTTTGGCACTTGATTTAGCATCAGCACCTAATTTTCGACCAACATTTAAATATTTTTCATGGCATACAGCTTTAATAGGTGCTGTTGGATCAATTATAATGTGTTTTATTGTATCTGCTGCTTATGCTGCTATAGCTATTGGAATTTTAATTGGTTTTATTTGTATGCTACATTTAAGAGATTTTCCCAGAGCTTCATGGGGTTCGATTTCACAAGCTCTTATATTTCATCAGGTTAATATTAAATTTATCAAAATGTTTTATTTATTTTATTTTAATTTTTAGGTTAGAAAATATCTTCTTTTACTTGATCCACGTAAAGAACATGTTAAATTTTGGCGACCACAAATGTTATTACTTGTTGCTAATCCACGTTCATCAATAAATTTAATTGATTTTGTTAATGATATGAAAAAAGGTGGTCTTTTTATATTAGGTCATGTTAAAACAGGTCACATGACTCATGGATCGAATGATATTTGTTCACAAGAATATCCATATTGGGTTTCATTAATAGATAATATGAAAATCAAAGCATTTGTTGATATGACATTAGCACCAACTATACGTGATGGTGTATTACAATTAATGCGACTATCAGGATTAGGTATTTTAAAAAAATAAACAAAACTAATTAAAATTAGAAAGTTTTCATGTTAAGATTGTGAGGAAGTCAATATGAGTGTTATTAGTTTTTGAAAAAATTGTTGGAAATAATAAGGAAATGAATAGCTACTGTTGAAAGGCAGCAGCGTAATCAGAATTTTTAGACTAATGTATAAGGCTTTTATTGATAGGCCGAAAATGAAATGAGATTCTTTTAATCAAACTCAGATTTTAATCCTGAGTCACGTATGTTTTAGTCTATTTCTAATATCTCTGTTTATAACATTTATATTTCAAATTCAAACACCCAAATTTCCTATGAACTAGGTCATTTCACATTTTGGTTTTTTTCCTTTCCCTTCTATGCGTCATTCTCTCTCTTAATATATATATATATATCTACACATATATATATTCGTGTGTGTTGTTGTTTCTCTTTTCTTTGATCCGTCCTTCTCTCCCTTTATGTGATTAGTACTTTCTCAGAAAAAAAAATCACACACACGTTCACCCAAACTTACAGTTCAAATTCTTAATTTTTCACAGAAAGAACAAGCAAAGAGTGCATGTGTGACTCAGAGGGAAGAAAAAAGATACAATTACCATCTAATTCAAAATAAATAAACAATTCAGAAAAAGTAAAATTACAACGAGCAAATCTTCAAATGAAATGGGCAATTACCCATTTACCTTCCCATTGGTTACACTATTGTTGAAAGAATAACTATAGAGTTCTTGGTTCGTCGAAGAGAAATGTTACTTTCTTGACCTTCGTGATAAATAAAACACTTGCTAATAAGTGGCAAGAAAAATTCTCTAGGGATAGGAGAATTCGTCGAGATGTGTAAGTGAGAGATCTTTTGTGTATCCTTGCTCATACTTACCCATCCTCAGATGTTCCCTTCAAATATGTTATGCGCCGAATGGTCCTAGCACTTTTTCTTCTAGAAAAACTTCTCTTAATAATAATAATGTAATTAAGAATGCAATGAATTTCGCTTGAATATGATGTTTCTATACTGTAGTAAAAGAAAATAGATTATTGAGAATAGAAAGTGAAAGTAATTGTGATATAAATTTAATATATAAGAAATAATAGAATTTTTATTATATAAATAACAAACGCGTTTGATTAAAATCTATTTAAAGATAGATAGATGAATTAAGATTAGTATCAAAATAGACATCGTATTATTAACTTTTTAGATTCTAGCGAAAAATGTGACTTTTATACAAAAGCAATACTTTTCAAAATTATTTATTAGATTTCACTATTTCATTACGGGGGGTTCGTATAATTATATAAATGCAGAATTGTAAAATAAATTTTATTTATCGTATTTCTTCTCTGTTACTTTTGTCATGAGAATGTTCTCTTCTCATCTAACTCATACTATTATCATGTGCATCACTATGAATATAGATCAAGAGAAAAACAAGAAGTTTCAGATATGAAAGTTTACTAGAGTCCATAAAATCTTTTGGTCAAATGTCTTTCAAAATGTTATGAAATCAAACACCTTTTCGGAATATCGTATAATGTCTAAAAAATCGATAAAGTTCTTATTACTGTTAGATTTTATTTAACAAATATTATAATGCAGGATTTCGAGTGTACTCCTTCGAACCTCTCTAAAAATTTTCATTGACATTTGCCACATAGTATTCAAATGTAAACGAGAGTTATGTTTTATCGGTAAAGAAAATTTTAGAAGATGGTCATTTTACTTAATTTCAAAATACGTTAAGATTAAAATGAGTATCTTTTAAGTAATTAAATTTATTGAAAGAAATTTTGTATTTTCTTTTACTAGGTGGTCTTCGTCCAAATACAGTTATTCTTGGTTTTTATGATAGTGCTTTACCAGAAGATAAATTACGTAATCGTTCATTTTTTAAAAAACGTTGGCTTAAATCAACTACTCCTGCCAATTTAATGACTGCACCTACATTTCATCAACAACCAATAATTCAATCTGGTGTAATGGAAGGTGCTAGTACAATAACATTAAATTCATTTAATAGTTTAACAACAATAAATGGTAATGATATGTATCCAATATTTAATTTTGGAGGTAAGAAATATTTATTATTTTTTTTTGCTTTCTATGATTCATTAATTTAGAATTACGTCAAGAAAATGAAGACAAAGACCTTGATGTTTATTCATATGTACAAATAATAAAAGATGCACTTTATCTTAATAAAAGTATTTGTCTTGCTCGAAATTTTCATCAATTACAGAAAGATGATATGGAATTAAATAAACGAAAAGTTTTCGTAGATATTTGGCCAGTAAGTTTATACTTAGTAAACAACTAATTGACATCTTATTTGTATCTATAAAGTTTATTCGAAAGTTTTTTGTAAATTTTAATCTAAAAGCAGCATTTGATATATAGATATATACAAGATAGAAATTCGCATTTCCTTTCCTCACAGATCGTGATAAACATTGTTGATATACAATTCAAGATCGTAAACTAGTGGTAAAAAGTTTAGAGATGTAGCATTTTGGTTTCTTTTTTCTTAACGATAATAGCTAGAATGAATAAGGAGAAAGGATTTCTAAACACAAGAAAATATCTCCGAGCCACCTTCCGCAAACTGCACTAATTTTATAAAAGCTGTTAAATTTTCATTACAAAATCAGAAAGTAGATTTGTAGACCTATTCCACAATGATCATCGTTTGCTAAAGATAGGTCATGATGAGTTCGTAGGCATCAAAATATTTTCTCTATCAAATGAGCTTGTTTACAAAACATTTTTGATCGAATCTTGAAAACTATTGTTCTTGGAAGTCTTGGTTTTTCCAGAGATCTTTCGTTCAAATGGGCTGAAATTTGGAGCACATGTTGGGGCTGAAGTGGGAAGGCTGTGGTAAAATTTTCAGCTCGATATCCCGACGTTTGACAGAGATATGAACCAAAACAAGGGTCAAAAATAGCTCATTTTCGTTCCAAGATTTCTCGGTCCGGGCTCTGTCAACATATTTAAATTCTTTTTTTTGTTTGAAAGAGCATCTAAGGATGCAGGGCAATATAGAGTCCTTTTTCTTAAATTCTTACTTTTTTTGCGGAGAAAGGGGCTCACAAGTTCAATG